AGTGTTCTCATATTTCATTGGCCCGTTACTTACGACACTCACATTCCTGTTTTTCTCTTTTCTTTTTCTTTTAAACCTTTTCTATGACTTTGTGAACTTTTTTCTTAACAGAAAACCCGCTGCAGCTGTCGAATGAATTAGCTTGAGGTGGAAATTGTTTTGAATCACTTTGTAGTTGATTAATTGGTCCAATTGCGAATCAGAAACTCAATTTAAAAAACAAAAGGCGCTCAGCCCGATTGGGGACATCCAATTCTTCTGGACTTGAAATTAAGTAAATTTTTCAATTTTGTTGGCGAAAATGCAATTCCAAAGTGCTTCTCCCACGCCGCTAGAAAACTAGTATTATGGTAATTCATCGATTACACACATTTGGTATCCATCGTGCAGGCTTGAATAAACATATTCTTTCTTTTGCATGCGCCTATTAGATGTGGAGGTAAGTAAAACTGCTATGAAAGTAACGATTTGCCATTTGCGCAATTGATGGAGTAAGTCTCTCGAAACCTCTTTCCATCTCTTCTGATTGTTCTGGCTGCTGGTTGTTACTGGTTTTGTCTAGGAAGACAGAAATGTCAAATAGAGCACTTCTTCTTACCAGCAAAGAAAACTTGTGAAGCTCATTTGACTACCGACGTTCTCACGAGTTCGGCTAGTTGTAATAAAGTCAAAAACTGAGCATTTCCATGCTTTTCAAGCTCCACTATTGGGGGGTTTAAGTAGAAAACAAATTGCCGAGGAGTTGAGTTGTTTTCCTGTTTTGAATGCCACATGATACCCTTGCTGTCGGAGGAAGCAGCTCAGTGTAAGAGCGTAGAGATTGCAAGGAACGGACATTCGGAGATTCCATAGGCTGTGAACACTTCTGGGTTCTCGAATTGTTTCCAAAAATTGACGTATGGTCTGGACTCTCAGTGGAACCTTCGGGTTACGGTCATTCATATGTTCCTTGGAGGTTTTCGAATGTGGAGTATGTTTGGTTGGCTTGTAAGTCAGTTTTCATTCATTTTTAAGAAGAATTCGTGACTTCACTGTTGACGTTTCTGTAGCAGAGGCTTAGCACGTGCCGGACCCACGGCCATAGATGGAAATGGCAGCCGGTCGTCCCAAAGTGCCGTTTTCAATCGCTTCCTTCACACCCTCAATCGCAAAAGTGCAACGATTGTGTTGAAGTTTGAACTGTTCGCAATTGCCTCTACGATGTCCTAAGTAGGCATGTCCTGATAATTACTAAATGTCATTCAACCAGCCAGGAATCCAAAAGCGACTAATTGAAGACTGACTGAGTCGTTTGTTAGAGCTGGAGTCTACCCTGGACTTAATTGTATCTTGAAATGGCCCACTCCTTCTGTTACTGCGGCTTCCTTGCTGCCTACTTCAACCTCCTGCGGCCCCTCCTATCTTCTTCTCAACGCTGTTCTTAATTTGGTGTGTAACTACATATGAAGCACCGCTTTTGTCTGCTTTTTTCACGAAAGGTGAAATCAACTGATTCGAGTCGAAGTCTTCTCAATGAATCTTCAATCAGCTCATTTGGCAACGGTAAGATCATATTCGAATAAATAAATAAATAAATAAATAAAATTTGAGATTTCTGTATGCATTGAAGAAGATGCTTACAAATAGCCAATTCCACTTCTTGCTGTCAATCCAAGTTTAAGGCATGTCTTATGCACTTTGCCCTAATTTCTCATCAGTTGTGGATCAGTTCAGTTCATCAGCTCTTCAGTATAATCGAGTCTCCCAACTCTCAGTTTGCTCACCCTTCACTATAGCTTCATTGCCCATGGCCTTTGGTCTTTCGGTTACCTATGTTCCCCAGAACAATTTACTAATATCCTGCCCTTGTAGTTGACCTCATCCACGTATATTTCATGTAGGACAGTTGGAATAAGAATGTGGTTCAATGCTCAAACATTTTAACATCAGATTTCCCGTGGGGTGCTAGAAGAAGTGCAGTACATACTAGACGAAGTTTTTTATCAGTTGGAATGGCGAACGGGGTTAGCAAGGAAATGTTGAAGTACTTCCGATCATTACAAGTACAAGACCGAGATCAGATCGAGTTGTTCGGTATTTTGGATGTTCACTTGAACAGAAACCGGAACGTCACTCGTAATATTTGATAGTCTATTGAAAAAGGGAGGAACCTGCAAGCAAGCAACTCAAACAACTCACTGACTCAAAGAAAAACTGNTTACTAATATCCTGCCCTTGTAGTTGACCTCATCCACGTATATTTCATGTAGGACAGTTGGAATAAGAATGTGGTTCAATGCTCAAACATTTTAACTCATCAAATTTCCCGTGGGGTGCTAGAAGAAGTGCAGTACATACTAGACGAAGTTTTTTATCAGTTGGAATGGCGAACGGGGTTAGCAAGGAAATGTTGAAGTACTTCCGATCATTACAAGTACAAGACCCAGAACAAATCGAGATGTTTGGTATTTTGGATGTTCACTTGAACAGAAACCGGAACGTCATTCGTAAAATTTGATAGTCTATTGAAAAAGGGAGGAACCTGCAAGCAAGCAACTCAAACAACTCACTGACTCAAAGAAAAACTGAAACCAGAATCCGTATTGGTGTGCTATATCAGACGAAATGACGCGCCAACCTCAGCTGGTCATGCCGAGAATGTTCTCACCGGGCTCTCTTTTATGGACTAGTACGAGTTTGTATGTTAATAGTAAAGATCTATTTTTCGAAATCATTTTGAAATCAGTTTTTATTAGCTTTGGGCTATGAACTTTTGGTCACCGCCTCTATTTTTGAGTATCAAAGTTAACCGATAATATTGTAAATCTAATATTTCCTCTTACTGCTGAGTGTTGCTGAAACTAAACTGAAAAGCGCTGCTGTCTCAAAGCACCTTTCGATATCGTTTGAAGGATTTTTGTTTGAATACTTATTTTCTTTCCTGATATAGTTAAATCCACTCCATTCGATCTCTTTCAATTTGAAGCTTATAACAGGTAACTAATATTTCCTCTTGCGCGCGTTGATTGCTATTCCTGAGTTCGGAAAAAGCCGAATTGCCGATTTTTGTGAATTGCATCAGCTTATCGTCGGCGTTGCGGACTAACGTAGTCACCAGAAGATTTTAATAAACGGAAACTCTGACGAACGAAATATTGCTCTTGTGGTTTCGTGTCCGTCCGAGATCAGAATAGACGATCTCAAACTGTTTCTGGCCTGTACTCTACTGGTACCGGCGATTGCAAGTGGAAAGGGCCCCGTAGCAGTTATAGGATGATGGATAAATTTATGACATTGCACTTCCTTTAGTTGGACTATACCCACGGCTTTCGAGCTCATGAGTCAAAGGCCCATTAATCAGATTTATGAAGGATTCTGAAGAGCCTCGGCCACCCCGAATTCCATGATACATCCGGGTTGCATACCAAAAGAACCCTCGCACTCTCATTGGGGAAAATTTTAAGGGAACCCTCAACTTCAACAAACTACACGCAATAATGATTTTTCTGTTCGGCCCATATACGTGGCTTAGGGAAAGGTGTTGAGGCCTAGTTGTCATTGTGATGCTTAGTTGTCTGACAGGATTAGGCCAACGAAGCAACGATCAGTAATGAGTTAGCGTCAACATCTGGAGAAGCTTCGTGGGACTTCATTTCTTCGTTCTTTCCCATAACTTGTTTTTCTTCCATTTCCATTCATCACTTGCGCAGTTTTATGGAGAGTATAGCGAACAAAGAGCAAGGAATATTAGCTCTGAATGGAAGAATTCCCTTAGAAAACGATGCTCTCTTCATTGAGCAACATTTGTACGGTGGCAGGACCATCAAGGGGTTCATGCAACCATGTCGACGAGCAACCAGAACATTGAGAAGCTTCTCTCTACATTTCTGTTGCTTGCTACTTTTGTTTTTTAAAGCAGATACGCGTTTCCCCATTCCTGACGGCATTTTTTGTAAACTATCCAAATAGTCACCTTGAACTGAATCTCCTACATCGCTGAAGTAAGCGTCCCCTTCCAACTTCATCTGGACGGTTGATTCACGACATCGCCATAGTCGATTCGTATCTCGACAATCGCGCGATATCGCCGGCAGATAGGGCTGTGAATCGCCAACGACGGCGACGATTGATCTGACTGTTGTTGTGGTGGTAGTTGGTGCAATGGACATTTGTCATTTCATTTCGATGATGAATTCAGCAGCACGTCAATCGCTCCAACTGTTTCTGCTCGATCTTGACCGGTTTTCATTTAGTTAATGCAACGATTTATTTCTTTTTGTTTGTCCGTCCTATACGGCTTCTTTCCTTGGCTGTTTAGAAGATTGGAATGAACTGGGATCAGAAAATTTTCCTCAAGAGTTTTATAAGGGAGCACGTTGTTTGAAGCATTCCGTTCAATCTGTGACAATGGAAATGAGTCGGGTTGCAGGTGGTAGATAGGAATCTTTGGTGTCACAATGTCTAAAGAGTCTTGAGAGTATACATGTATCATGCAGAGTTTTTTGCAGTGTTGGTATTGTTTTCATCTGTACTTTTGAAGGCCAAACTCCATCTGTAAACCTTAATCAACTTCGCTCTCCTCCTACGTAACGAAAAGAATAAGGTCTTCTGGCCTGACGGATGCGCCCCCGCATTCGACTTCCATTCAGAATCGCAGTGACGTATTGAATGCTTGTGTGGCCTATACAATGATTTGCGGTGGCCAGCCGATGTACAAGTCAGTGCTTTTATCCTCCCAAACGAGTCTGTTACCAATTAACCGACCCAGAGGGATGGAAAACGTGGTTGGCCTAGGCGGATGTCGATAGGGGATTTGAACCCGTGATCATACATGTGTGGTAGTGCGCCACTTGCCACTACACCACCTCCGCCCCCTTATCCTTCTATGAACAAACTGTTTTTCAGAACGTTTTGTAAGAGGCATGAGGGCAGTCATTGTTTCTACATAATGTTCGAACCAGCCAAAGTCCTCGACTAGGTATTCATGTGAATGTTCTCTTTTTTTACTCAGACCCGAAAAAAAAAGTTACTTTCCGTGACCGACATGCGTAGTCGAGAAAAGTAATACTAAATGAAGTTCTAGCCAGAATTCAAAATAACCATGCAAGTAGGGTGACCATTACCACTTCTTTCTAAGTTATACTCATACCTATGAATTTTCGGTGTGGTGTGCAATCTTCTCAATCAAAACTTTGAGCTGAGAAATAGAGATGACAATCTCGTGAGATGTGCCGAAAGCTACGACGATGTAAAAACTGAAAGGGTAACGGTCTGGAAAGGGCTTCAGACGGACTACACGCAGCAAGTGAATCTAATCAAAGCTGCTTTCTTGAGGGCTATTATATCGGTCCCTGAAAGCCTATGAGGTTTTTACTACAATGCTGAAATGAGGACATAAAAACGATAGAAATCTAGAAGAGGCTTTTAAAACAGCCTCCTATTTGAGCTTGTTATCCTTCCAAACTTGGTGCTAATCTTTCTGAAGCTGAGAGAGATTTTAGCGAGTTGTAGAGCAATTTTTCCACTACCAACCAGTAAGTTTATGCAGAAACATGTGACCCTACATATTTTCATTCCCAAATTCCTCATAATGTTTGCCATTCCACGTTGAATGGAATCATGGAGCCTATTTGGATACAGCAAACAAACCTCGTGGAGCGTCTTTCTCGCCATTTCTTCGTAAACTATTGGAATTAGAACTTCCTTTCAATTTTTCAGAATGCCTTTTCAGAATGCCCTCTGATAAATATCAAAGGGGGGTTGAGGTACTGCCATGACACAATAATTCTTCAGATTTTCCATGTTCGTGTCTGCTGCCATCGAATCGTTTTCCCCAGTTTTTTCGACGCTTTCAACTTCAGAGAGCTTGTTTGTGAATAAGCAAACTGATGGCTCTTGTCACAGACTCTCCTTAAATTGCACATGAGTATTGAAATGATCTCAGCCGTCGCCTTTTGCTTTTAACTTTCCATTTTCTGTCTGTTTCGTCTATTTGGATGGCTGCTTATCCACAATCGTAGAGCTGTTTGGGTTGTGTATGAATCATAGCTTGCCTTCATCATTATTCAACGCCGTCGACCTTTCGTCCTCAGATGATGTTTGAATCGTCGTACGATGCCCTTGCATACCGTAACCATTTCTCGCCTACCGATCTTGTTTTGATGAATATCAAAGTGTTTTTCATCAGAAGATTGTTTTTCTGAATTCCTTTCGAGTCCACCCCCTGATAGAACCAAAGGTGTTGTTGCCGAATATTTCTCATTTCGTTTTTTTTTTGGTTATAGGACATTGTTGGGAGGAAAAAATCATAATAATCCTAGCTGGGACCCAATTGTCGTAAGAAGTCGTAGAGGATTCAGTTCCACCCAAGTCGCTTTAAAATAGTAAGTATGTAAAGATGTAATGGGTGACGGTTCATAGGCCGTTTTGAGCGGGAATTTGGAAACGGATACTTCTTGAAGATTTTCTTTTCCTTTTTGATGAACTAAAATTAAATTAAGCATGTGAGTCGATCTAATAAATGAATTTTCATGAGAAAAAAAGCTGTAGCAATACTTACCCAACGTTTCACTAATTTCGGGATACAACTTCAATTGTATGATATTCAATATACTTCTCGCCTCTAGCCTTATGAAGAATCATCTGAAAAGTTCTTCTTGAAATCATTTCTTCATATTGTCATTTTTAGCCTGGTATCCTAAAAGGTTTCAGCCATTGCGATGCCTAACCTTTACGAGCGCCAGGCTTTCGGCCTTACCTGACACTTCACCTTTTATAGACAAGCCATTAGTCTTCATTTTCCTGATGTACCTTAAGATATTACCTTTACTTCCATTTTAGCTTAGTTATCAACCATAGCATCTGTGAGCTTAAAGTAAAGACAAAATACATACCTTGTCCATGAAAGGAGAAATTCCTTTTCCAGAAAAGAGCGTCTATTTGAAGCCATGATATCAAGTGATCTTTGAGGTAGTCATCTCATTCTCACAGTTCTGCTTCATCTGGCCTACGTTCTACTGTCTTCCTCTTCTTCAATACATTCGAACTTCCCCGTTTTTTTCAGCCTTGTGCTGCTATGACTCATTCTGAACAATACGATCGCGACATAAAGAATCCGTTCCCATACCATTTCCCAGGCCACCAAACTGCCGGCCAAAGACCTTGGCCGTATGCGGCTTTTTCTTATCGTACCACCAATCCGTTCATATTTTTAATGAGCTGTAAGTGTCTGGGAAAACATCAGCGTTTAGCTCAGATGTCTTTGAGAAAGTCACTTGTTAAGGGTTTTTTGGGTCCTGTAACTATTTTGTGAACAACATCGTACAGTATTTCTACTGGGAGAGTATTTATGCCGAGCTACTCCGAGATTGAACGTCTCTCATTTCAGGGCATCTGTACGGAACGCCTCGGCCAGAAGAGTGTTATGAAAGTGCAGCGATGGTGAGCTGTAGCAATAAAGGACCACTACCACCGAACTGGGAGATCGGTTATGCGGAGAATGGCGACAAGTACTTCATAGAGTGAGTTTCCTTTCTTCTCCATTCAGCGTCTCATTAAAGTCACTAAAAACTAAATTCACCTCTTTTTGATTTTTAAACCGTGATAGAACACTGAAAATGGTCCGTAGACCAAGAGATTCACGTGGTTCTCTCATTTATTTTGTTGCATTAACTATGTGCTAAAGAGAGCGAACTATCTATGCTCCCATGTTTTTGTACCATTCGCTCTCCGAGTCTTCGAGAGAATGACTTCGAGCTATGCTTCGGAAGCCCGGTTCTCCGTCCTCCGTCGAAGTAACGCTATCTTCCATCCAGTTCTGATCTGGCTAGTTGTTTCTGATGTGTTTTTCGCTCTAGGCCCTAAGCCCTTTAGGTGGCCTCAAAGCATCCTCTCATACAGCAACCAACCAAAGCTGACTGAAGGGGTTAGAAAATTGACGCATCCTTAGTTACATCTAAGAAGGACGTCCCATCTGTCTCCACTGCCAGCTGAAGCATTCCTTTGAAATTGAATATTACAAACAGTATAGGAACGGTGGTAGGGTTTTCCTCTTCTTCTACACGAAATTTGTCAGTACTCTCCTTCCACCCTCTCTTTTATGATGGAGCTTTTCATCCTCCGTTTTGGCTAAGTCATAGACACCAAATGGGATTGTGGTCATACTAACAAGTATCGTTTCTCAGCCTACTACATACATACTCAGATGCTTCAAATTCCTCCCAAGCTACGGTGCTTTTGTTTCTTGTTTCCGTATACCTCCTTATTCTACAGTTTTCATAGTTTTACATACAATTAGAGAGTTTGCGATACTTCCTTAGTTTCCCTTTATCCAGTACCCAGATCCATGCCAATCAGCTTTCGTGACAGATCACTCCCCGAAAAGCAGCGACGAAACTTTTTCCGGCTTTCCTTCAATTACTTGTATGAAAATCTGCCGCTCTGAAGTGGTCCACAAGTGGGTTCTAGTGCTCTCATTTCATTCCAACCATTAAGGTATTGACGCGTGCCGCTCAAAAATAAATGTATGCCCTTTATCTTCTTGAAGGTTTGCCGCCCATAGGGCACTTCCGCCCACCTTACTCCCTCCCTTTTCCACCTCCCACGCTTCCTCAGCAAAGCACCACATCCAAAATCCCATTTTGAGGACGAGTCTAGATGAACTTTATGGGCCCGATATCACTTATGACATGAAGCTTCAAGAAGAGAGAAAGCATGTCGAAAAGGGAGAGGTCGTGTTGGGTCTAAAGCCCCAGTTAAAGAAATACCTAATTATCTATGCGATATTGAAGCAATATCAAGCCAGAATCATCTAGCAGTGGACCCCGTATCAATCGATGCTGATCAGAATCCCAAGAGAAAAAAGCCGAGGGAAGGATTGCGACTCACACTGCTTCTCGTGTACTCCGATTCTAGTTACCCCTGTCTCACACTATTTTATACAGTATTCTATAACTGTTTGAATCGTACTGAATTATAGTCCCGTTCTTAAATTAAAATGGTCATTTGGGACTTAGGTGACTTATTGTGAGGGATAATACCCTAACCCCATCTCCAGCGAATATACTAAGGCATCCTATTACCAAACGTCGCTTGCAGAATCGCTCGAGCGGCAAAACAATTAACACTGTGACTGAGGGGCTATAGGCGGCTGGAAATTTTCTTTCAAACTCCTAAACTTTTCAAGGAAGTGTATAAGTAGCCTAACGGAGAAGAGGCAAAAAATGATAGATCATGGTGATTTGAACGAAGATTAACTTTTAAAGAAAACAGGGCACGGTCGAGGGTGCGATCTTCAAGAATAACTTACCACTGCTTCGTTTTCACGAAGATTGTTTGGAGCAATGATTTCAGTTTTGGCTGTTCGTTTGTAAGCGGCTCGGCGATATGGGAGAGTAGAACTCTTGAAACCAGTTTGAAAGTACTCATCGACGTCATCTAGGCCTGTTGATTCTTGTCACACGAAATTACCCACTTCCTTCTGAACAGAATGTTAGCATTGTTGTAGATCTATCGGAGAGCTGTTTCCGGGAAACTCGCCTGCTTAAGCCCGAGATTCAACTTTATTAATCAATCATCCTACAGAGAAGCTGAAATTATTGGGGATGTCCCCATGAAATAGGTCCCATCTTCTCCGGTTAAATCTTGTGGGGATAGTGAATACCGAAAGAATGGAGTGAAATATAGAGAGATGTTATATTATCAGCTTGAGGTGGGCCGAAATCAAGAAAGCTAACAATATGACAGTGAAAGACATCCTTAGTAGAGTTAGCGATGAACATTTACAAGATGGAAGGTCGAAGCTCGAAAATATTGCCGTTTTGAAATCAACACCATTTTCAGCCACAACTCCGGCACCACCACATGGGAAGACCCGCGAGATCTACCGCCCGGTTGGGAGCAGGTTGATGATCCTGAGTACGGAACGTTCTTCGTTGAGTAAGTGCTTCCACATTTCGTTTTTCTCTTGTGTTCAGCTTCAATAGGCTAAATTGTCGGATTTAGCTGGTGAGAACGTTCCCGTTGAAGGTGGTAGTTCTCAGCGATCGAAAATTTTCCTCGGCGAAAAAGAGATACTATGAGGGTCAACGAACCATTTGGTAAAGGTTTTATAACACCAAAATTTGTTTCGGGACAAACTTTCTTACGATGTTCGCTGGCCGCGCTTGACGAAAACCATGTGGTAGTTGGGAGAAGGTGCGGAAATAAAGCAGAAGATTGAGAGGATAGCGAAAATTGGAAAAAGCCTGTGGCATTTGCTATCGGTGATTCATCAAAACCACCTCGCATGCAATATGATTGATAGCAAAAGGCATGGCTTGCTCTATTAGCCAATCGTCATCGTAGACCTTTGTTTCAGCGATGATTTTCCACTGGCTCTGATCTTTACTCTTTGCTGAGGTACTTTTTCCAACGGATTCTTTAATGAGCTATCCAATTCAAGTAAACTGAAGTTTTTCGGTGACGAACTGGTAAGCTCGAACTTCTCCCAATCTTTCTCTAAAGTGTTGGCAACAACTCTGTTGTCCACGTACATGTGCGAGGGTTGCGCCATGTCTACGGCACATTTTAGTACAACTCTTTTGTAATATCGTAAAAAACACCTTTCACTCTGTAAAGATCCATTAATTTTTATTGGAATTTTATGGGAAATCGTTGTTCCAGACTGACTCATCAGCTAAGGATTGTTGACTATGAACGAAACATGGTTTGTAGCGCCCCTACATTTGCTGTTGTGATAGAATATATGTGTAGATCCGTCACGAGAATTTCTTCCTAACAAACATAACATCTAGTAAACGTAGGTCCCGTAATAGGTTTCAAACCAGCAATCCAGATTGGATCATACCGAGAGATGAGTTCGGATCAGAATTGGCAGTAACGACGACCATGAAGTGACCGCAAAATGAGCCTGAAGGCATGATTTTAATCACCTACATGGAAGTTCTTCCTTACTTGTTTATACCCCTAGTTCTCTAAGGTTTCTGCAGCATTTATGAACCCAACAGGTTCCCAGACAGCATGCGGTAAAAGATGGAGGGGACCACACGCTTTTGAAGAGCTTTGAAGTGAATAAAAGATATTGTTGTGAAGAATCTTCTTGGGCTAGTGAATTACGGACGAACCTTTAGTTTACACTCCCATGTTGCGGAGAAGTTACCGAAGAAGAACACGTCCCAGACTTGTCCTACTATTAATGAAGTAGAAGTTTATGAGGTGGGACGTGATTGGGAAAAAAGTGACTCACCAATCCAGCCGATATATGATATTTAAAATTTATCCCTTTTTTTTTTGACTACTGCAATTATTTCCTCCCTTCCCTTCTGTAGGCTCAGTCAACGAAGTAGTCAAGATTTTATAGTCTCCATAAGATTTTGAATATCCAAATGGCCTGGCGAGTGTGACTAAATTTGATTTGTACATTTGATAGAGTTTATGCAGAAAATTGCGAGCCTGTGCCTGAATCAATGGATAATCATTTATTGATTTGATCGCTCGCTGTTGCTCGTGATTGGTGACTGTTTTGCAAACCCCATAGCTCGTTGGTAAATGACTTCCCATTGTCGCTGAAGTTCAGGCCATTCATCTTCTTTCCACCTTCTAGAAGTCCCGAGGAACTCAATTTGAGCCATAAATTGCTTTCCGAGGGCAATGCAGAGTTCGAGGTTCAGTCAGTTCCATGCGATCAGCCTCAAGCATGCCTTATGACAATGAACAGCCTGAATAGCCTCAATAAGTGGGCAACAGCAGTGGGGACGCGGGTGTGGTCACGCAAATCTCGTTAAGCGTCACGGAAAGGGCTGGGCTGTGCTCGAGCCTAGTCAAAGGAGTGCGCCTGCAACCCTGTTGGAAACCACGCCTCCGGAACACTGCTCTATTGATCTCGCGACAGGACTGGACTTCTTGACGGATTGGTCCCGACCTATTCCCATATTCAGGCGCTATTGTTTCCGCCCAAAAGATCTGATCGCACAAAAACTATATCGCCAGCGCCGAGCACGTGACAATCACGCTGCTTTGCTGAGCCCAAGCCGTCGGAGCGGCGCTATGAGTTGAGCGGTCTGAATGGAGCAGCCGTCATCGCCGTTGCGTGGTCCAGACCTCATCTCCAACATCATCTACTTCAACGCCGCCAATACCGGCTCCCGCAACAGCAGCAATGCGACTGATGAGAGGTCATAAAACAATCTTTTCTTTCGTTTTCACACTGTGTATCGAGCATTTTGTTCTTGTTCCGAACATCAAGTATATCTGTCAGTCCGAAGGCAAAGAGGGTTACTGATGGTAAAAGCTGCCCTATGGCACGTCCATCACTAATTAGTCCTTGCCAACAATTGCGGTCATAGAAAATCCTTTCTGTGACTTCTTGGAGTGGGTTCATTAGAGATGTTCATCCTCCCATGCTCTCTTCTTCTTCGAATCGATCTCTTATTTGCAAGTTAAGGAGAGTTCCAGGTATCGAATTCTTAACGAAATTCGTTTTTGAGCATTTGGATGGCATAGCATCCATTTTGTTGGCCTTTCTCAGAAAATTCGACGTTTGATTTGCTTTCCGTTGGTTCGTCGTCGCTGAAAAAGAATATTGACTTTTAGTTAAGAAAATCAAATTCTTTGGAGGGATAATCTGAACGCTGTTTGAAACAAGTGCCATTTTCGAGGCAGACTTCGTTACCAAGTGACCTCTTGTTTACGTTTCTAGTGTTTTCCCTTTTTCCTTCCCCACATAGGCTTGAAAGGTAACCTTTTGGGAATTAGACCACAGGCGAAGGACGTAAGTGCGCTTCAGTAGAAGATTGGAAGGCGGTAATCTTGGGCAAATCAGCTCGGCTTTTGTTCTGAAATTTGCGAAGAAACAATAAAATATGCTCAACTGAATAGGAACATTTTTAAGGAACTTTGGGCTTGGCAGCTTTGGAAGATGGGTGTTCCGTTGGAAAGCATTTGGGCGTACGTTGAGCCGATATAGTGAATTGTTGAGACCGGCTGCTGCTGTTTACTTGGGTGTTTTTACCCTTCCAGACTAGCTCCCTACAATCAAGTGACTCCAATAAACTAAAAGGTCATTTATTTAATGCCGAAGATTGAGCCGTCTCAAGGCTGAAGTCAAGCTAAAAGCTCCGGCCACCACGCCGTTCATGTCATCCATCAACTTTTTTCTTGAGATCTATGATTATGAGGTGGCTGAAGACATCTTCACTCGGATTTAGTCTGTAGATGGTCTAATCAGTAGAAATCACAGTTTATCAACTCTAAAAAGTAAAGGCGGAGTCTGAAAACAGCTTCTCAATCATTTGGGAGGCTCAGTCCTGGTTAACCGTTCTTACCACTTGCCTGAGCCATGTAATCGGCAATCCCGCGATAAGTTTAGGTCCCAAGTATATCTTCACATTACCATCACATATCCCATTGCATAAATTCAATATAACCCCTAGCTGCAGCAAAGATTATTGGCACAAAATGCCTCGCAGGCTGTGGAAGTGAGGCATCCGACTCAATCAGGGGTCTCATCTGGCGAGAGAAGTCATTATAGCGTGAATCTCCATGAAATATTCACGTCATCATTCTTCTTCAAGGCCCAATACGTTGAGAGCCCAGAAATGCAACGAAATCGATCACCAACTTTTTCAGTCACATCAACAAAAGGACGCAATATGAGCGTCCAGGTACGTCAACTACGATGTCACGCTACGATGCTTTACCAACGACGGCCACCCACAAGTCGAACGGGGTAAGTGTCATTGGTGGAAGCCGAGTATAGGCTCTTTGAAGCTTTAGAGAACGAGGTGAATAACAGAAAACAAAACAAATCCCCAAACTGCCAGTTGCGCATTCATTAGGGGAATGGGAACGCATCAGTGGAATGCAGAAGGGAAACAACTGGTAGTTAATCAATAATCCTAAAGGTAAAGTACGTATTCAAGCTGCTCCGAGAAAAGGCTATAGAGTAGCGCTGGAAGACTGCATACAGTGCGCTTGGCTATGGGGCCCTTCAATATCCTCTACCTTTTGAATTGCGTTTTTAGGGGGGCAGTGGGCATGCGTAAGACCTCTGACCGAATTTTACGTGAACAGCAGGAATGGACCACAGAATGAGGCATAATTGGCTTTGTAGCGCAAAGGTGCTAAATTCTTTTTGTATTGGCTTGACCGGGGAAGGTACGCGGTTTTATACAGGGTACGCTTTCTGGGACCTTTTTCGAGCCCGTATTTGAGTTGCCCAAATTTTCTGTTATATTTTCTTCGATGATCCTTCTGGAGAAGACCCTTACTATCCTGTTTCATAAGTAGCAATAAATATGGACCGAGCTCAAATTTCTTTTCAAAATCCAAGGAAATTCACTCTTGTTGTTTAAGATCATTTCCAATGGCCATCAACCATCTCCACCGCACCAACAACGACCGAAACAACCTTCGATTGCTCAGACGTCTCAGAACGGTGGCAATCCGTTTTTTACGCGTGATCCACAACAACTTCGTGGAGAAATGGTGACGACAACAATCGTCAAAGGTCCCAAAGGGCTTGGCTTTACCCTGATCGGAAATGACGCCTCTAGCAAAGGAAATGAATTCATACAGGTACAGCCTGTCTCGTACTTCGTTTGATTTGTCTCTTTTGGAAATTGCTGGAAACATTTTACTTGTTCTAATGAGAAACTATTCTTTCGAAATATCGTTCTCTGATTTATAAGGACCACTTGCTAATGGCATCAAAACCTTTCTATCTAGTCAGAATTGAATGAAATTCGTATAATTTTTGGGCATATATCGACATTCTTTGAAAGGAACAGCCGCGGCATAAGCAGCTTTGTGGGTAGCTAGAAAAATTGTGAAAACTTTGAAGGGAAAACTGGTGTCTTCAAAACTGTCCAAGGGTTATCGAAGGCATAATAATACTTATTTGTTCGACAGTTACACATCAGTTTACTTGGTTTCTTTTGAGATATTCTGGACAGCTGGTTGGGAGCTGATTGCTATGAGCAGGGATTCCCAATGGGACCGTGAACCATGGTTAAGGGAAGTTTGGGGTTGTCAAGTCATCATTAGGCAGTCATCGTTATGGCCTGCTAGTTCACCATGCAAAAAGAAGATTGATTATACCCCACCGGAGAGCACTCTTGAGAGCTTTTGAATGCATCTCTGTACCGCTCACTAGAATGGTATATGTTCTGCGCTATGTATTGATGACGAGTACCTAAATTGTTTTCGCTCCCCTTTTAGCTACTAGTTTTTGCTGAATCTGAGAGTAAGGGGGTAACCTCAAAGAAGCTGCTGTTGACATTTTAAAGAGTTTTTAGGAGGGAAAAAACCGACCGACCTTATCTTTGTATCCAACTTGCCCTATTGGAGTAAGAAGGGTTTTATTGCTAGGTTGAGTGGCATTTGCTCAGATTACCTGAAGCACCCGCTCATTTCAGCTCTTTCATTAGTGGAATATCATTATACTATACGGAGAAGGCTTGGCTTGCACCATAATATCACTCATGAAAAGAAAATGGTCAATTTTCTAAGGCCCATATGCCAAAATCTCAGATTTAGCAAAATGGAGGTGATGTAGTGTTACGTAGCGCAATATTTTACGCACGATCTTCGAAACGAATGCTGTTGAGGCTCTTCAGATAGTTAGGGCTGAGATCACCTCATAGCCTTCAGAGGTGGCATAATTGGTCCCAAACTCGTCTGAGTAAATAAATGCGTGCTTTGCCCATCGTATGGCCACCGTAAGTGACTGTATAGGTTACATAAGCCTTAGCTCACTATCACGATCCCTGATTGTCCATAGTGCCTCAAACGGATTTTTAGTTGCCACATGACCTTACTCTTCACTCGTCTATCTCAGTCCCTGTTGAAATAATTCACGTCGCTGAAATTTGAAAACTATTGATCTCAACACCATTGAGCAGTGTATTGTTAGCTTCGCACATCATTTTGGTTTTCTTCAATAAGGTTTCTTTGGTCTGATGTGTGGTGATGTGGATGCTTGCACATCCTCTCCTTTGTTTCATGGAAAACCGTTCACCACCCCGCACAGCAGCGTTCAAAAGAGCCTTCCCTCCTACACCCACAAATGTAGGGCCTTGGGGGAACTAATGGCAGTTCCCGTTAATTCAGCAAATTTTGTTGACTGCCTACCAAAGTACTTCACAGTTGCGGAAACAAAGTTGATTAATTACTAGGAACCCTCGAAAAAAAGTAAAAAATTCTCGAGATAAATAGGCTAAAGAAAAACTCGTGACTGATTTATTACCCCTACGATGCAAGTAAAAACCTAGGGAACTCCTTTTTTTGCCTACTCTGAAGACGAGACTCTGGTAAAAAACATCGTTCGAAGTCAAATTCGATTAAGTTTGAGGAATTCTGTGTTTGCGTTCCAGCTGCTATATATTCCTCCACTTCCTTTTTTCATCTCTACTCTCTCCTCTTCTACCCATCCTCTCCGCCTACACTCGGCACCCTTTATGGTTGAAGGGAATTATGTGAAAATCGCAAATTTGATTGAAAATTTGAGGAGCAGACTTTGAGGAACTAGAGAGACTTTTCTTCTCTACAGCGTTCAACTCAATCGGTCTACTTTTCCCTCAAATACCACTGGCAAACCCCTGTACATTAATTGTGAAACGAATTTCGAAGGGCCCATCCATCGAAATGTGCGACTGGGTTACTTGTCAATATAACGTGAGATATCGCCCCAATTCTCTTTAGTTCCCCAGGGAATGCTGGCCCCACGCGCGAATGTTGTGGGAACTCCGCTGCAGCATTCACGGAGCTGCCAACAGGGGCATTCTATGAAAAAGTTTGATCCTCTGGCAACCAGTTAGTAGCTGAAAAGTGGTTCTTATGAGGATTGTTTTCGTATTCGTCTTGCTGGAGTGGCTATATAGCCAATACAACAAGAAGTTGAGCGGAAAAGGTTTGATAGTGAGGACCTTTATACTTTCAGTCTTGACACTGGAGTCATCCGAGGAGAACGTCTAAATTCTGCAACCCTGTGGAAAGCTTCTATGCCTTCTTTTGAGATAAATCCCTCGTTCGGCTGATTATCTACTGAGTAATAGCCGACCCTGAACGTTCATTTCCATTTTAAACCCCTAATGAATGGCGCAGTTGATTTTGTTTGTTGAGCAAGAATTGAGAATCTCCTACCCTCATTGATCTCAAAATCGATTGAGAAAACGTAAAATATAGAAAAACAAGGGCATTTTCTGGAACTCTGGAATTCCTTCTTCTCTCCTGATCCATGAGGAAAAACCAAATATTTAGTCCTGCAAAACGCTTTGATTCGAGAAAAAAATGCTGTTTGGATATTCGGCTCAGAGCTGGATGTCAGCTTTCAGATAAAAACAAAAAAACCGCCAAATAGAAGTAAATTTTCTGAAACACACAATATTCATCAGCTCGTTCAACTGTTAGGGAAATTCAGCTCTAAACTGGTACTTTCGTGATTCCAGGTGAAATCGATACTTCCGGGAGGTCTGGCAGCTGAAGATGGAGTACTACAACCTGGTGACGTGCTGGTACGAGTGAATGGCGAGCTACTGCTTGGTGCCTCTCAGTCAGATGCCTGTCGAATTTTTGTGAATATCCCTGTAGGCGATCCAGTTGCTATACAAGTTTGCCGCGGCTATCCACTACTGTTGGATCCGTCGAATCGGGTGAGGTTTATAAGTCAACTCGATGGATTGGCTTACAGCTGCTTCATTGCGATTCATTTAGATAATCACTGAAAACGTTTATCAAACGGGTGGCAGAAGTCGAGACTTGCACGAAATCGAAATTATCAAAGGATCGGAAGGATTCGGGTTTACCATTGCTGACAGCGCTACGGTACTTCGCTTTTTTACTTTAATGTTTGCTTATTTTTATACCGTTCTAGAAAGAGATTTCTAAACATCAAGATTCCTTTTCTTCGAATTTTACTTTTTTTGCTATGCTCTACGATTTGTTTTTGCGGTAGTCAACTGTGTGCGAGCTTCGTAGCCCAGAAGAGAGCACTTCTCGAACACCAAAAGTATCGCCCATGGATATTCTATGCGCAGTATTTTAATTCAACTAATTTACCGATTAAATATGTACGTTCCTTTGTGTTCCCTGATCTCCATCCAAGCCGTACACCCCTAGCCT